CACTCCAACCCAGCCCAGAAACAACTTAGAGTTAGGGTTCATGGGAATTTATGGGTTGAATGAGTAGAAGTAAAAATGGCATAATTTGAATGAGAAGTACCTCATCCTGGCCTGAAGCAGAGAGTGAGATTGATCAGTGCCTTGAATTTCTCCTAGTCTCTTTCTAGTCAATATTCCTTCCAACGGACATAGGATGTGGAAATGTTGACTCCATAGGCTTTACTACAGTCTTTCAAAATGATGCTTTGCCTATATCAATTGATTTAAGTGAAGTTGCCATATATATGTAAATGTTTACTTTTTCCCAGATTATGGGTTGAATGAGTAGAAGTAGAAAAGGCTTAATTTGAATGAGAAGTACCTCATCCTGGCCTGAAGCAGTGGGTGAGATTGATTACTGCCTTGAATTTCTCCTAGTCTCTTTCTAGTCAATATTACTTCCAACTGACATAGGATGTGGAAATGCTGACTCCAAAGGCTTTACTACAGTCTTTCAAAATGATTTTTTGACTATATCAATTGATTTAAGTGAGGTTGCCATATATATTTCAATGTTTACTTTTCCCCAGATGTGGGTGACTGCTTTCAGTGTCCAAAAGATCATTATCCAAACAAGAACAGGGATTTCTGCGTCCCCAAATTGTTAACTTTCCTCACATTTGAAGAAGCTCTGGGAACAAGCTTGGCCAGCTCTGCTCTTTTCCCGTTTTGTGTGACTGCTGGAGTGCTTGGGATCTTCATCAAATACCGGGACACTCCCATTGTCAAAGCCAATAATCGGACCCTCACCTACACCCTCCTGCTCTCCCTCCTGCTCTCCTTCCTTTGTGCTCTGCTGTTCGTTGGACAACCACGGAAGGTGACCTGTCTCTTTCGTCAGACAGCTTTTGGCATCATCTTCTCTGTGGCTGTTTCTTCTGTGTTGGCAAAAACCATCACTGTGATTCTTGCTTTCCAAGCCACCAAACCTGAATCCAAGTTGAGGAAATGGTTGGGGAAAAGAATGGCCACCTCCATTATTCTTTCCAGCCTGCTCATTCAAGCCACAATTTGTACAGTGTGGCTGTCTACTTTCCCCCCATTTCCTGATCTTGATGTGAACTCAATGACTGAAGAAGTCATTCTGGAATGTAATGAAGGGTCAATCACCATGTTTTATTGCCTCCTGGGTTTTATGGGTTTCCTGTCTATTTGCAGTTTCACTGCTGCTTTCTTTGCCAGGAAGTTGCCTGACAGTTTCAATGAAGCCAAATTTATCACCTTCAGCATGCTGGTCTTCTGCAGTGTATGGATTTCTTTTGTTCCAACATACTTGAGCACCAATGGGAAATACATGGTGGCAGTGGAGATCTTCTCAATCTTAGCTTCCAGTGCCGGATTACTAGGTTTTATATTTTTCCCCAAATGCTATATCATTCTTCTGAGACCCGATTTGAATACAAGGGAGCAAGTAATGAAAAGAAAGCATTGAAGAAAGTTTCTGTTTATACATTTATCATCTTTTGTCTTTTATTTGGAATTTGGTTCCTAAGATTAATAAAATGTCTTGATGATCAATGACATTCTGGTATAGAAGAATGATATATATGGAAACCTCATTATTTCATCAGAAGGATGGGTCTTTGTTTTTATTGAAGAATCAGAATATGAAGGACCAATATTAGGTTCAGAATTATGCTAATATATAACATATTACACTATCTGAAATATATCATGCTAATTTTATGCTTAAGATGATGCTTTAGGTCATTTGTACTCTGGCTTTGGTATAGGCCATTACAAGTCCATGCATCACTATGGAATAGACAACTTGTACACTCATCATGATCATAAAAGACGATCAGGAACACTTGTATCATCTCTATGTGGGGCTGCCTTTGAAGGTAGTTCGGAAGCTTCAACCAGTTCAGAGATTGACGGTCAGATTGCTAACAGGAGCTCCGTACAGGGAGAGATCCATTCCCATGTTGCGGCAGATCCACTGGCTGCTGGTCTGCTTCTGTGCTAAATACAAAGTGTGGTCATTACCTTTAAAGCCCTAAATGACTTGGGTCCAGGCTATTTAATGGTTCACATCTCCTCTCACAAACCAGCCTGGGCACTGCGGTCATCAGCGGAGGCCCTGCTCTCGGTCCCACCCCCATCCCAAGCATGGCTGGTGGAAACGTGAGAAAGGGCCTTCTCCGTGGTCCCACTCCAGCTCTGGAATACCCTCCCTAAAGAATTAAAGCTCTGAAACTCCCCTCCCTCTTCTCATTCAGAAAAAAACTGAAGACTACTTTTGCTCACTAGCATATGGAGAGGAGGAGAATTAGATTGTTGAGAGATAGTTGCCGGGCCTCTGGTTGAGAACTATTTGTATTTGGGCTTCCTGGTCCACACCAGCCCAATGACTTCATTTGACTACATAACCAGCCCACACCGTTTTGTGAACCCTTGCTGGCTGTTGTACACTAATATGGATGTTTTGTTTAGATTTATGTTATTATAGAATTTTGTCTGACTACGTCTAGCTTAATTGATTGATGTCAGGTTTAATTTACTGTTGTTAGGTTTTTAATTTAATGTTAGGTTTTAATGCTACTTTTATACGTGGGGTTTTCCTGGGATTTCAAGTTAGTATCATGTATTTTACGTAGGCATTGAAAGTTATATTGGAATCGGCCTTGATTCCTTAAAAGCCAGTCATTTGAGATATATTTCGGAAGAGCTAAAGATTTAATGTATTGTCAAAGGTTTTCATGGCTAGAATCACTGGGCTGTTGTAGGTTTTTCGGGCTATATGGCCATGTTCTGAAAGCATTCTGTCCTGACGTTTTGCCTGCATCTAGGGCAGGCATCCACATAGGTTATGAAGTCTCACAACCGCACAACCTCTGAGGGTGCCTGCCATAGATGCAGGCAAAATGTCAGGAGAGAATGCTTCTAGAACATAGACCGAAAAATCACAACAACCCAGCTAAAGCTTTTCTCCTTGGATGGTGACAAAGAAGATTGTCTATCCCACCCCCACCCTCTGCACCCCATCCCATGTTGCCTCTATTGCAATGTAAATAAAAAAACCACATCAGAACTTCCTGCTCTTGAGTATTCCTTCCATAAGAAAAGCCTATGAAATTCATTGGGGTCATCATAAGTTGGCAGGTGACACACCACACACTTCAGTTGCTCCCACTAAAGATTTTTGTTCCTCATCAGACGTAAGAGCCTTCCTCCTGTCAATAGGTGAGGAATGAATAGATATGAAGATCTACTGCAATCCACTGCAACCCAGTTATAAGAAGATCAAAAGATTAGTGGCAGGAATAGAGCATTTAGAAAAATGCAGTCTTTAAGACAATGTTTCTCAACCTGGGGGCCAGGACCCTTGGGAGGTGTGTGAGGAGGGGTCAGAGTGGTCAGAGGGGTCACCAAACACCATCTGAAAACACAGTATTTTATGTTGGTCATAGTGCTGCTGCTAATCATTTTTTATTTTCGGTCCACAATTTCCTTGCACTACAGTTGAGAAGCTTGGTTGTTGGGTATTTAAAAGTTTGCTCTTTTTTTTTAAAAAAAAAAAAAGCAAAATTAAATAAAAAGAAATACACAAATGAATGAAACTCAGAAAAACACTTCTGCATCTGATCTCTTATCATAACCCCGTGATGGTGAACCCATGACATGCTTGTCAGTACTGACATGCGTAGCCTTTCCTACTTGAGGCCTTCATGAAGGGCAGTGGTGCCCTCACTATGGGAATGTGGGAGGCCCTGTGGTGGACAGGATGGCCCAACACATGGCCAGCCTACTGCAATAGCCATCTTAGGAGACTGCCATGTGTACAGCAATGGGGGCAGACTGTAGCAATGGTGACCATTTTTAAGACAAGCAGGCATGTAGCCGGGGGGGGGGGCTTGAGGGGCTTCAGCCCCCCCCCCCCAAATTCTCATGGTGGTTTGCAAAAAGGCCTTACTGGTGCATTATTTAAACTGTTATGTTTATTCATATCATGATCTGATCACCATACTCAATATATCCCATATGCATGGGGGTATTGGGGTAACGATACAAAAGGTTTGCTAGGGTAGACCCTCTTTCACTCAGACTCAGCCCCCCCCCCCCGAAACAAACTCAGCCCCCCCCCCCAATCGAATTCCTGGCTACAGGCCTGCCTATAAGCATTGTAGGCGCCATATAGCAAGCATGAGGTCAATAGGGATGGTGGTGATGATGATGATAATGATGATACAACTTTAGCAATCTGTAAAAAAATGTGGGGTGGAATAATAATGGCAGAGCATTCTTGGGAATTTCATCTGTGTTTCCGGCCCATCGATTGCCGGTAGCCAAGCAAGCGCTATCATCGCCAACAACATACAAAGGAAAAACAATACCACATTGTGGCTTCAAAGCTACCTTTTGGAAGAAGTGTGGTACAATAGTCTAAGCAAGGGTCCAAGTCAGGGTGGGGACATGGCAGTCATCACTAAACAATTATGGGAAGGGCATTTAGCTGGGACTGCTAAGCCCACAATCTGGGCTTAGCAGTCCCAGCTAAATTTTATTTATTTATCGTATCAAGAGCAAACCAAACTGTTGTACTGCATTCAAAAGGACACAAAGTCTAAAAACTTGGCAATTATATTAAATGTCCTTTGACCAGTAGCTGGTCACTTGGAGTGCCTCTGGTGTTGCTATAAGAAGGTCCTCCATTGTGCATGTGGCAGTGCTCAGGTTGCATTGCAGTAGGTGGTCGGTGGTTTGCTCTTCTCCACACTCGCGTGTCGTGAATTCCACTTTGTAGCCCCATTTCTTAGTTTGGCTCTGCATCTCGTGGTGCCAGAGCACAATCTGTTCAGCGCCTTCCAAGTCGCTCAGTTTTGTGTGTGGCAAGGAGGGAGTCTCTCATTTGATATCACCCATAGATTGAGGTTCTGGGTTTTAGCCTGCCACTTTTGGACTCTTGCTTGCTGGGGTGTTCCAGAAAGAGTCTCTGAAGATCTTCGACAACTATTTCTTGATTTAAGTCATTGGAGTGCTGGCTGTTATCCAGACAGGGGATGGGCTAGAGATGTCATTGCCTTGGTCCTTTCACTATTGGTTGCTACTTCCCAGCGGATGTCAGAGGCGCAGACACCCCATGATAATGCGGCCTGTCTGATTAACAGCCACATCCACTGTTTTAGCATGGTGAGATGTGTTCCACACTGGGCAGGCAAAGCACAAAGCGCAAGGGCAGATGTCTTCACTGTATCTGGTTGTGCTCCCCAGGTTGTGCCATTCAGCTTTCGTATGATAATGTTTCTCCAGAAGTGACCAGAAGACTAATCATGGATGCAAAGAGAGGCTGTGACCATGATTTCAAGGCTGTGATTTGGTACATTGCACATGTTATGATTTTCTTTCCCTTTTCCTAAAGCAGAATAAGGGAATGGGAGGCCTAAAGGAAGGGACCCAACCAAGAAGACTCCATCCAAACGATCTCATCATCGGACAACGACAACAACTAGGGAGAGGAGGCATTGAGTGTTGTCACAGTGTGCGTGAGGGCTTTGGGAGGCAAAAGGGAGGGGGGCATGGCAGTGCTCCTGTTAAATTTGTTATTATCTGAGGAGACACCTGTCGAGTTGTGATAAACATATTTTTGCAATGCCCCAGAGCATTCCCATTTAGTGATTATCCTATTTGCACTTACTTCTTCTATGTTCCTGGAGACTCCAGGGAATACTAGTGAAGTAAATGCTCAGCCTGTGCTCTTTTATACTCAGGACTACATCTCCGTAAGTTCAGTGGGATTGATCTATAACTGAACCTGCATAGGATTGCATTGCATTAAATTATATGTATATTGCTAATGTCTTTGTAGGTGGAGGAAAAGATGGTTCCATTGCTTTGACTGTGTATATTTCATAGTATACCCAACTGATTTCAAACCAACAAACCAAAGGAATTTCGAATAGGCCGTAATACCAGAGGAGACCTGGATCACAATTTGGGAAGCAATGAATTGTTGTCAAAGTGGAATCTTTCTATGCAAAATCAAGCTATCCATCCAACTTGTTTTCATTCTGCTGGTGTTCAGTCTGTTTCAAGTGGCATGCACAACTGGTTCATGTGACATGGGTCGATCTCTTCGTATTCATCACAAGTATCGCATGTCTGGAGACCTGCACATTGGTGCCATTCTGTCTCAGATTTTTATGTCTTCAGAAGAGATATCCTTTAGGCAAGATCCTGTTGGGAAATCTCAAGGAGATACAATGTATGAATTTGGTTTTTCCCCTCATAATATTTCATGCAGTACTTTAGATATAAGAGAGGTTGAGAACTGTTAAAAATTCAGTTGTTATAATGTTAGAACTAGTTCAAATTGAGGATAGAAAAAAGATTAGAAAATATACAAAAACGTAAAAAAAGTGTGTAAAATTTGCAAATACAGTCATTGTTTTGTACAACAACAATTATGTGCAGCATTTTCTGTACAGACAC